GAGCCCTACAGAATTAGAAGACCCTCAATGAAATGTATGCGTCTAACAATGAACTTTAAAAGTCCAGAAAGCCCTTGTGTGCTTGTCTTATTCAAATACTCAGAAAGAGACAATGAAAGATAATCTAAAATTATATACCTCGTCAGTTTTCATACCCATCAGAAGCCAAACGACTCTCGCAAGACAATTTTTCATTCAATTCTTGAATTCATCAACAACTATTTTCCAGACAAGTTTTTCCTATAATGTCCTCTTATGTACAACTCAGCAGAAACACTGAATGCGAAGAGGAAGGTTTCTTATGTGTATAACAAGTCACATGAGCTTGTCAATGTTTTCACTTGTCTTCTGGGCTTTGATGCAATGGCATCCTATTACGCTACTGATATTTAAGCCAAAGGAATGTGAATAAACCCTCCATGAGAGGAAGGACCTCATCTATCTCACTGGCGGACGCATTCCCAGCATGTAGGAGTCAGGCACATAGTAGGCAAGCAGTATTTGTTGAATAAGTGAATGGATTACACCTGTGTGTTCTTTCTTTGGGAGAAGTAGGGAAAAGCAGATGAAGCACAATAAATTCCTCGGCCAGATGCGGTCTATGAGATTTCTGGCAACTGTGTGAAAATCATTGCTAAAGCTGATTCAATAGCCAATGTCAACGATGTTGACATACGCTGTTACCTCATATGAGAAGTTGATGCATAAAAATAAGTTTACAAGTTTACTCTGGCAATTAATTACTAAGCCATTATGTTTCATCTTCACACATCTTATGAAGTGGCTCAGACTTACTACTGAGAGCAGCCATCTCTCCCCTCTAGTTCCTTTCCTGCCGATCACCCTCAGCCTACTGCAAGCTATTTTCTGCCCCCAACACTGCTCTGGCCGAGGTGACCAATGAACTCCAGTTGCCCAGTATCATAATACTGTTGACATCTCAATAATATTTAACATAGTTAACCCGTCCTAGTCTCTTCCCTGAACTTCCTGTCCCACTTACTCTTTTGTTGTGTGTGTGTGTGTGTGTGTGTGTGGAAGTTTCGCTCATTGCCCAGGCTTGACTCACTGCAACCTCTGCCTTCCAGGTTCAAGCAATTCTCCCGCCTCAGCCTCCTGAGTAGCTGGGACTACAGGCCTGAGGCACTATGCCCAGCTAACTTTTGTATTTTTAGTAGAGATGGGGTTTCCCCATGTTGGGCAGGCTAGTCTCAAACTGCTGACCTCAGGTGATCCACCCGCCTTGGCCTCCCAAAGTGCTGGGATTACAGGCGTGAGCCACCGTGCCCAGCCTGTCCTGTTTTAACTTTGGCAATTTCTCCTCTTCCTGACACATACAGGTGCGAGTTACTTAGCCTTTGCCTAGTTCGCTTTTCTTCTCTTTCTCTAATCCTCTTTCTAGGTGAGTTCATCTGCTCCAAGGGCTTCAAATAATATCATGATGCCAATCACTGTCAGTGTTTCTCTTCTGAGTGCCAGTACGAGTGGCCTGCTGAACGTTTCTCTGCCACCTGAAATTTAACACGCACCCCAAATGAAAACGATCCCCATTCTTTAGCCCCCAAGCTTTCCCCTCCCCATGTTCCCTGGCACTGATGCCACCATTCGCCCAGTGAAGCATTTTGGTAATGTGCAGGTCACGCTGACACCTCACTCCCTCATCCTCACCCAATCCTTCCTTCTGCTCATTCGCCCTCCTGATTTTTTTCTAGAACATCTACTTCTCTCCCTCATTCCTGGTGCCACCATCCTTCAATGCACCCTGTTTTCTTTTCTGGACCAGTTTCCTCACATCCACCCTTGCTGCCCTCCAATCCAGACTCATCTTTTTAAAGTAAAAATGTTATCTTGTCTAAAACCATTTAATGGCCTCCCAATGGCTGGTTCCAGATTCTCCCATTTTTTAGGATAAATTTCTGAATCCTTAGTAAGAGTCTACAGAACCCTGGATGATGGCATCTGGTGCTGTCTCTCCAGACATTTCTTGTGCCACTGTCTTCACTATCATCTCTTAATAGGCTCCTAAAAAAATTCAATAATGAAGAAAAACTCAGGAGGACCTTAACATATGAATATTGCGAAAAGTCTCAAAAACAAACAGAAAGTCCCTACAGATGTTCCAAATCAAATGACTTGTTTCCAATTTAAAGCCAGTTCTCATTATTCATATTTATCAAAAGTAGTTTTGAAATATTTTTTGTTACCACGAGGCGACAGTTTATCATGTAACGACTCCAACCGAAAAACTGCTTATTCTTCTCAGAGAATGAAGTCACGGAACTTCTCTAAGGTTCTAAAGGTCCTTAGGCCCATGGATCCCAGGATTTTCCAGGCCAGTAAAAAAAATTAATGAGGCCTTGGCACAGGAGGGTCCAAATTTTTATTCTGTCAAATGGAGATGTTAAAACAAAACAAATTCCATGCCCACAACATCTACCTCTGCCGTTAGCTGATTTTTAAGAACATGTTAGTAACAATGAAAACTGGAAGTCCAAACAATCAGAATAAAGATTAACATTCTAAATTAATAATTTTAGTTTTGCATTCTTACTTTTCTAATTTCATTGAAAACAGCTTCCCAAACTGACACCAGTGGCCAGACTAGACTTTGATAATCGTTATTCCAGGTAAGAACTATTATATCCATTGAGAGGTTGTTGATTCTTCTTCTGAAAATAACTATCAAAATACTTTTGCTAGAATAAATAAAGCTATTGAAAAAGAAGAAAAAAACAGCCTCCAACACCTGAAACTGCTTTGAGTCCCACAGCTATATCTCAATATTATTACAATCCCATCTGACACTCACAGCCAGGTAAGCTCTGTTTTCCTCCTGGAGATAAACAATCTCACAGATAGCTACCTCGGATAAGATTATTCTGAGACGTGACAAAGAAAGACAAAGCAATGCCACTTGAGGATTTTGTCCAAGCACAGACAAAAACAAGGTCACCTGCAACGCACAAAACACCAAGCATCCCCTTCTCTTGCTAAGTAGAATGGCTGTTGCTTCCTTAGTCATAGAATTGCCCCTTTCTTTTTTATTTTTTTTATTATACTTTAAGTTCTAGGGTACATGTGCACAACGTGCAGGTTTGTTACATATGTATACATGTGCCATGTTGCTGTGCTGCACCCATCAACTCGTCTAACAGCGTTCTATCTACAGCAAAGCCCGGTTCCTTAGTCTTACCCCAAATCATGCAACCAAAGTTCAAATTCTGTAATGGGTTTTTTTCTATAACCCACCGTCACTGATGGTTTCTGTTCTTATTTGCCTCAAAGAACACTAAACCCAATTTGTTCAACTCATAGTGTGTTCCTGGTGGTCTTTGAATGAAGGGCCCTGACAGTAGCAAAGTGTCGAACTCTTTCAAAATTCCCGTAATACCAACTACCCTCAAGCAAATTAATTCCCTACCCACAGTAGAGCCATTTTATTTTACGGCCTTTCAATCGAGTCCGCATATATGTTCTGTGCATTTTCCTATTACAAGAAAAACTGTACATACTATTCTGGATTCTACTTTTATCTGCTAAACATTATATCAATTTTAATGGCTAAGTCATATCCCAATATGATTTTAAAGAATTTCTCCTTACAGGTATAAGAGAAAGTACATCTTGCCTCCACTTTCAATAACCTACCTAAGCTATTCAAGACCATCTCATATCCAGCCTCAGGCCAGATACGCCAGGTTCCTACTTATCCGGTCTGTTGGCAAAGACAAACGCAGTCTGACTGCTTTATAAAGAAATGAATTATGAAAGAGTACTAGTGTCAAGAGTACTCGGGCGTTAGGCATGTTCAGTAAACAAGTGTAACCTCTGGCTAAAGATTTTCTCACTCTAGGTCTACTTCCTCTTCTGTAAAATAAAAGGGTCACGCTAGTCCCTCACTGTCTCTCTCAGTTAGGAAATCCGTGGCCCTGTGACTTGCTCTTGGGAAAGAGCCACGGGACAGGCGATCCCATGACTTGGGTGCAAAAGGCCACAGAGGGCCCTCTGGGGCATGCCCAGGGCTGCTAGCACCGCCCAGGCTTGGGACCACTCAGCGTTTCCCAGGGCCCTGCAGTATCCTGAGCTGAGCTCCTGAACTTCTTCGGAAGAAAGCACCTGGCCATCAGGCAGTCTGTCCTTGATTAACGCACACAGGTCTACCGGAACATTTTATTTAAACAGTTCAAAATGCAAGGGCCTGGAACTGGTTATTCAAGTACACTCACTCAAATGTGCGAATATGCGAATCACTTCCAGGTATCCTGCAGAGATTAGGATTTCCTTTAAAGGTGTTCTAGTTCCAACCAGGTAGCACCGAATCAACCGAGGACGGGGTTCACCAGCCCGCTTTGAACCCACATCCCTGTGCACGAAACCACAGACCCCCGAAAAGACGCTGCCCAGCACCAGGTGTTCCTCGTCCCCGCCCACCCCGCCACACCTGCGCCTCCATCCGCGCCCGCACCTGCACGCCCCTCTCCGCGCCTCGGCTCAAGCTCACTCACCGGCGGCGCGTGCTGCGCGACAGCACAGCTGACGGCGGCAGCCAGGAGGACTAAGGCGAGGCGACTCCGGTCCAGCATCGTTCCGGGAGCCAACGCCACTCCTTGAACGCCAGCAGAGGCAAAAGAGAAGAGCCGCCTGGGCCGGGGGCAGGCCACGCCCCCTCCGCCGCGTGACCCGCGACCTGGGACCGCACCATCCCAGGCAGTGGGGGAGCACTCGGAGGAGGCGGGCCTGGGAGGAGAGGACGGGGCTTTTCAGTGCCGTGAAAAGGGTGGCGTAGAGAGAGAGGGCGCCTTCCAGGCTGGGGAGGGACCAGCAGAAGGAGAGTCGCGCTCGCCCCTCGCGCGTGGTCTGATCCATCGCCCTCCCCCACCGCGGGCACTGGTCGGACCGCGCCGGAGCCCCGCCCCGTGGGTGGGGCCGGGAGCTTCACCCGCGCAGCTTCGCCGGGGCGCCTCCGGCGGGCGGGTGCAACCTGTTTCGGGTATTCAAGTGTCCTCGGTACCCACGAAACGGATCCAAAGAGTCTCAACACCAATGTAACATCCCACCCTGACCCATCTTTGCCCTCTGAGGAAAGCGGGCCCGAAATGAGTTATTCATGCCCACCGCGGGGTCAGGGACAAGGAGCAGTTGAGTGGCCGAGGAGGAAGAGAGAAACGAATCCACTCGGGTCTTCCAGGCTGTTGGTTACCCAATTGGGCTTTCACAGCAGAGCTGCCAAATGCCAGAATTGAGGCCTCGGTGAAAAGCGCGCTTAGACTTGAGGAGGAGGCCAGGTGGGACCCGCGAGCCTTATCTCCCTGCCAAACTCTGCCGTTCATTAAGCGGCTGCTTCTCCTCCTAACTGGCGAAGGACTCAGGTGGGCGGGGCAAAGCTCAGCCTGGGAGGCGGCGGAAGCGAGTAGCTCGGCAGGGAGACTCGCTTGGCTTTCGTGCGGTCCGTGGACGCAGTCGCGCGGGTAGGTGACCGGCTTGGATTTCAAAGTCCTGCAGGAAATCCTGCCCTCTGGGTTGCACTTCCTGGTTGAGCCTCTGAAGTCTCAAGCAGCATTGTTTTAGTGCTTTGATGAAGCTCAGCACGCTACCGAAATCTCCATTATCCATTTGTATTATTTCTTTAGAAAACTCAACAATCTTTTTGTTGGAGGTGGGGAAATGAGAAGGTGATGTTTTGTTTTGCTTTTTCTCATTTTTTTTTTAAAGGGGGAGTAGATGACAGTGTTCTCCTTAAGGAGGAAGTTTGACTTTTGAAACATACCACATGCTTAAAACACATTTGAGTTCCTGCATGAACAGTAAGCTAGCAGATGGTAGAAATATTCGTTATTAATTCAAAAAATATTTACTGCGGACCTACAATGTGCCAAGCATGTCTCCTGACTCTGGGGATAAGCAGTGAACAACAAAAAGACCAAGTTCTTCCACCCTGAGGCTTATATTCTAGGTGAGAAATGGGCAATAAACATAATAGGTAAGAAAATTACATGGGATGTTAGTGATAAATGCTGTGGAGAAAAAGGGGGGGCCAAGAGCATCAAATGTGGAGATCAGAAGTGATAGAGTCACAGTTTTAAATAAGAGGGACAGATAGACATGATTAAGGAGGTGAAGTTTGAGCAGAAGTTTGAGGGAGGCCAGGAAGCTAGTTTTGTGTGTGCCCAAGAAAGTATTCTAGGCAGAGACAGCAGCTGTTAAAAGGCTTAAAAGGGAGAATGTGCCTGGCATGTTCAGTTACAGCAGACGTGTGTGGGTCTGGCACAGAAGGAACAAGGGGAAAAGAAGAAAGAAGTATTAATAGATAAAGTAAGAGAGTTAAGGAGAGCAGGGCAAATTCTGTAAGGCATTCAGAGCCATTTCACTCCAGAAAAAAATTGTGTAATGTTGAGTACATGTGTTAAATGTTGAATCTATTGAATTACCTTGGAGCTTAAAGTAAGTGTGCCAAGAAGAAGATACCCATCTTTTAGTTGTTATTACTAAATCAAATAGCTATTTGATTTGAAGATCATTCCTCTTCAGTACTCTTGAGCACGATTTAAACATGTCACCGAGCATAACTTTTCCCTACAAGAGGATGTTAATTGGTGATTAGGTAGTCCAGCAAAATCAGTTTCTTTATGGAAAAAATTTGTCGATTGACATACTATTCTTAGGCACCACTTTCGTAGAACTATGCATCTAACTTTCAAAGGTCTATTATATACTGATACTCTTTTCAGATAAAATGTAAATCTGCTTCCCTAAAATTAAACCATTTTATGCATGTCTTTTTTTTGAGACGGAGTCTCGCTTTGTCGTCCAGGCTGGAGTGCAGTGGTGTGATCTCGGCTCACTGCAAGCTCTGCCCCCCAGGTTCGCGCCATTCTCCTGCCTCAGCCTCCCGAGTAGCTGGGACTACAGGCGCCCACCACCACGCCCGGCTAATTTTTTTGTATTTTTAGTAGAGACGGGTTTCACTGTGTTAGCCAGGACGGTCCCAAACCTCTGACCTCGTGATACGCCCGCCTCGGCCTCCCAAAATGTGGGGATTACAGGCGTGAGCCACCGCGCCCGGCATGTCTTTTTTTTCTTACACATATATCTTTTTTTTCTGCCTACACCATTCTTTAATACTAGAAATGTACAGAAAGTCAAGGCAAGGTGTGTGTAGGAGACTGCAGTGGTTTTTGGCATACTGATCTGTTCATAGAAAATGGTATTTAAATGTACAAACGCATGATTGTGTCCATGGAAAGGGTGGTTCAATCAATACTGCAAAGAAGCATCAAGTTTAAGACTTGGATAACCTGTTTGGCGTGCAAGAGTCAGGCTATGTAATCAGATTGTTTATGGAATAGCTGAAGTTCTTGGCAAGCCGTGGACTTCCTAATCTCTCACCTAACATTCCTAGGTTCCTGAGGTGGAGCCTTGATTTAAAAGCATTGCAACCTAGCCACCCCACCCTAAATGAAGCCTATCGCATATAACACCACATTACTTGGAACAGGTTTGACTTGATTTAGTAAAACTGAATATACAAAAATGTGTACTAAAAGGTCAAGAGATATGGAAATAATGTTTCAGTTGGAGAAACATTTTTTTAACTTTATTGACATTTTTTATGAATAAGGAAGCTTTTTATTTTACAGGTCTTTGTGGGAAGAAACAAAGAAATCACAAAAGTAATTAAGAGAGCTCAAATAATGGGTAAGAGCACCTCAACAACTGAATTGAGCTAGCTGAAATTGTGCTTATTACGCTTTGTCAAGAACTTTAATTATCTCTTTACAGGGTTTATGCCAGTTACATGCAAGGATCCTGCATATTTCAGGGACCCTAACGTTTATAACATCAGGTATCGGGAATAAATTCTATCACATTGCCACTAATAAACTTTTTTTATAGTAAGTGCTTGTATGATGCCAATACTGACTCAAACCAACCTTTGGATAGAAAAGTGTTTCAGGAGTGACGTAAAGAATGACACTTCTCCTTCATATCAATCAAGGTTCATTAAGCAGATCGCTTATTTAAAATGTTATCACATTTTACATATGTTGAATAAAAGTGGTTCTGTATGACTGTCATTATATCTGGTCCCCAGATAGCTCATACAATGTAATACACCATTCAATTGAATGGAGTTAAAACTGCTCAGAATGATTTTCTAACTAGCAAATGTAAGTATGCCTGGTTAAGAGATCTTTCCTTTGTAGAAATGTTACATTGGGATGTATAGTGGTGCTGTCAACAGGAGGACAAAATATTCCTAGACAAGTCTATCCTCAAACCAGTAGTGTCTTTTACATAAAAAGATTATTTACATCTAATAGACACTGAAGGTGATAAACATGTATGTATATATGTATCAGTTCTGAGTTCCACTGACCTGTCCCAAACACACTGGATTACCAGGCTTGTACTGTACTCAAAATTATGGATTTGCTAAATTTCGGGCAAAGGACTCTAAAGTAGGGGAGACATTACTGTTTGTGTTGGGTTATAGTTGCATAATAATCAAGGCTACCAGATTTAGCAAGTACAAATGTAGGACAAATTTAAATTTTAGATCATGTTTTGCAAATTTATTGCGTGATATACAGCATTATATCTGGCAACTCTAGCCATAGTGTACTTCTAAAAACTTATCACTTAAGGAGAATTTTAATGACTCAGATAAATTTTCATATAAATTTCTTCCCACATTGTGAAAATGAGGCTATTCTTGCTTTTCTGATACTTTTCTTTTTTAATGAGATGGTTCTCACTGTGTTGCCCAGGCTGGTCTCTAAATCCTGACCTCAATCCGTCCTCCTGCCTTGTCTTCCCGAAGTGCTGGGATTATAGCTGTGAGCCACTGTGCCTGGCCTCACTTTTCCAATTCTAAAGAATGTGTCTGTGTAAGCCTTTCCCTCAACAACTTATTGAAAGGTGAAAAAAGGTTTGGAAATAAAAGCATCTGATGTTCGAAAAAGTACTTTGTAAAATAAATGCACTAAGACTTATCTGTGGATTACTGCAAACAGGTGAACATAGTAAAAACAAATGAACTTACCTTTACTAGGTAAGCAAGTAGCTCAACCTAGTAAAAACAATAAAAATGTTTGGCTTTACCCATCAGCCAAATTAAAAAATCTCCTTTTAAGGTTAAAAGGATCAAAAAGTGGGAGACGGTGAATGTTCACCAAAACCTTCATCTTTTTCAATCTCTTCAGCTGTTTCTGGGCTGCTCATTTTGGATGCTTTTTTTTCTTTTTCTTTTTCTTTTTTTTGGTCACTACTATCAGTATCTGTTTTAGATGGTTTGTCTTGTGTGTCTAACAGCCATGATCTCTTTTTTTTGAGATGGAGTCTTGCTCTGTCGTCCAGGCTGGAGTACAGTGGCGCGATCTCGGCTCACTGCCAGCTTCGCCTTCTGGGTTCACACCATTCTCCTGCCTCAGCCTCCTGGGTAGCTGGGAGTACAGGCGCCCGCCATCACACCCAGCTAATTTTTTTATTTTTAGTAAAGACGGGGTTTCACCGTGTTAGCCAGGATGGTCTTGATCTCCTTACCTTGTGATCCGCCCGCCATGATCTCTTGAATTGCCAGCTAAGTCTAAGGCTTTATGCTTAATCATTTGTGGTGTACTAGCTGGACTAGCTTCAGGAATGTCAGTGTGTTCTACCATTAAGTTCAGATTGTCTACTACATCGAGCTAGTGGTTGTTGTTACAGCTATCTTTAGAAACATGTCTATTTTTAAAAGACATAACACATGAATGAAGAAATTTAGATTCTGGAAAAAAGGTCCGTAATGCTTGACAAAGAAAAATGTTCGCCTGAGGGTTTTTGGATTCTCTTCTCTCGTGCTGCCTGACTCTGGGCTCATCTCCTTTTTTCAATTTCTCTTTTTAATCTGTTTACATCCTTTACTAGTTTATCTACTGCTTGTTCACTGTCTTCCACTTTTTTGCATATACTCTTAATTCCTCTTGTAATGAAGCATACATTTCATTTAATTATGTACCTCCTGTAAGGATCCATCTTCAAAAAATTTAGAGCTGTGTGTTTGTACTGCTCGGCTAAAACCAGCGGACATACAGGAAACTGATAGTTTTATAACCTAGTTGTTCACACATGCCCAGATTGGCAACCACTAAAGGTACCCTGTGAAAAAGTCATTTTTGAGGTTTATAAAAGGCATGTTCCAGTCAATGACTAGAGCAGCTTTCTGTTATGATACTTGGTGTTCACAGCAGAAAAACAAGGTTTTGGTTTGAAAAATGCTCCTGCAAGTTTTTGTGAAGCAGTCTGTCTCTAAATGTCCTGATCTGATCTGAATGACGATGGAATTTGTACCAACCTACCACATTCTTTGTGACATCTGATAATATTTTCTTCAGTGCTTGCTCATTTACTTCACCTGAAGAATTATCAAAGCTAACTCAGACCACTGGTACCGGTCTCTGAGTTCCCTCGGTATTTATTGATCATTATCTCAATATTTATTGATCATTATCTTTACCATCTTAGAAAAGGGAAGTGGCAGGATAATAGGATCATAGTAGGGAGAAGGTCAGCAGTAAGACATATGAATAAAGATCTCTGTGACATGAATAAGTTTAAGGAGAAGTGCTGTGCCTTGATACACATATGCAAATATCTCCATAAACCTTTTTAGTGCATAAAGAGCAGCATTGCCAGGCCGGGCGCGGTGGCTCAAGCCTGTAATCCCAGCACTTTGGGAGGCCGAGACGGGTGGATCACAAGGTCAGGAGATCGAGACCATCCTGGCTAACCCGGTGAAACCCCGTCTCTACTAAAAAATACAAAAAACTAGCCGGGCGCAGTGGCGAGCGCCTGTAGTCCCAGCTACTCGGGAGGCTGAGGCAGGAGAATGGCGTGAACCTGGGAGGCGGAGCTTGCAGTGAGCTGAGATCCGGCCACTGCACTCCAGCCTGGGCGACAGAGCGAGACTCCGCCTCAAATAAAAAAATAAAAATAAATAAATAAATAAAAAAGAGCAGCATTGCCGCCAGCACGTCCCACCTTCAGCCCTAAGGTGGTTTTCTCCCATCTCAGTAAACAGAACACACAATTGGGTTTTACACTGAGATGTTCCATTGCCCAGGGACAGGCAGGAGACAGATGCTTTTCTCTATCTCAACTGCCAAGAGGCCTTCTTTCCTCTTACACTAGACCTCCTCAGCACAGACCCTTCACGGGTGTCAGGCTGGGGGACAATCAGGTCTTTCCCTTCCCACGAAGCCATATTTCAGACTATCACATGGGGAGAAACCTTGGACAATACCTAGCTTTCCTAGGCAGAGGTCCCTGTGACCTTCCGCAGTGTATGTGTCCCTGGGTACTTGAGATTAAGAGAATGGTGATGACTTTTAACCAGCAAGCTGCCTTCAGGCACTTGTTTAACAAAGCACACCCTGCACAGCCCAAATCCATTAAACCTTGAGTCACCACAGCAGGTGTCTCTTGCAAGGACAGGGTTGGGGGTAGGCTCACAGATTAACAGCATCTCAAATACAGAACAAAATGGAGTCTCTTACGTCTACTTCTTTCTATATAGACACAGTAACAGTTTGATCTCTCTTTCTTTTCCCCACACCAATGGGTTACTTAATTTTTTTCAAGGCTTAATATATTTAAAATGTATTCTGAGTTTCAAACAGGTTTTTGTTCAACTCTTCAGGAAGGGATCTAGATAATAAAAGATGTTTAAAAATGGAAAATCAGAAACCATACAAAATTATTGTTTCTTTTTCTGTAGCAGCTTTATCACACCAAAAAAGATGTTTTATTTTTAGTTCTCTTTTATTTTCTTGAGACAGGGTCTCTCTCACTCTGTCACCCGGGCTGGAGTACAGTGGTACAGGAGAATAGCTTGAGCTTCAATCTCCTGGGCTCGAGCTATCCTCCCGCCTCAGCCTCCTGAGTAGTTGAGACTACAGGCACAAGCCACCATGCCCAGCTGATTTTTTTTTATTTGCAGACAGGGTCTCCCTGTGGTGCCCAGGCTGGTCTCAAACTCCTGGGCTCAAGTGATCCTCACACCTTGGCCTCCCAAAGTGCTGGAATTACAGGCGTGAGCCACTGTGCCCAGCTTGTTTTATTTTTAGATGATAAAAAATGTTAAATCATCACCTTCAGCTTGAGGTATATTGATACTGTATTTTATTCCATTACAAAACCATAAATTTAGTGCTCACATTTAATGTAATTGTTCCTCCATATAGTATCAAAATAAAATAGTTATATTATTCTTTTTTTAAAAAAATTTACTTTAAATACTGCGATACATGTGCAGAACATGCAGGTTTGTTATGTAGGTATACATGTGCCATGTGGTTTGCTGCACCTATCAACCTGTCATCTAGGTTTTTTGTTTTTATTTTTTTGAGACAGAGTCTTGCTCTGTAGCCCGGGCTAGAGTGCAGTGGCCGGATCTCAGCTCACTGCAAACTCCTCCTCCCGGGTTCCCGCCATTCTCCTGCCTCAGCCTCCGGAGTAGCTGGGACTACAGGCGCCCGCCACCTCACCTGGCTAGTTTTTTGTATTTTTTAGTAGAGACGGGGTTTAACTGTGTTAGCCAGGATGGTCTCGATCTCCTGACCTCGTGATCCTCCCATCTCGGCCTCCCAAAGTGCTGGGATTACAGGCTTGAGCCACCGCGCCCGGCCTCATCTAGGTTTTAAGCCCCGCATGCATTAGGTATTTGTCCTAATGCTCTCCCTCCCCTCCCCCCCATATTAATTATTCTTTACTTTGCACTTACCTTTCTGTTTCTATTGAAACATTTTTGATGTCTCATTGAACCCCTGACACCTGAAACATGTTGGAATTTGAAGAGCCACTGAAAAAAATACTTTGTTCTATTTTCTATTTCCACTTTTCTTGATGGGACCTAGGGTTCTGACCCCAAAATTATTTTCAGTTTAACTCACATGTGATCATCTCTCAATGTTTTTGCCATTTTGACTTCATATTTCCACATAGTTTCATTTTTCATAGTTCCATTTTACAAAAATAATTATAGTAATAAGTTGGTGCTAAATTCATTTATTCTGTCACACATATTGATCTCTTAATGTAGGTGCTGGGTAACAGTGATCAAATGATTCCTGCCCTCCTGGACTTTCAGTCTAGTGGTAGAGAAGAATAAAGATGGAGGAGAACGTGTAAATCAAACAAGTAGCTTGAAACTTCCATACATTTCACTCATTCTTCCAGGCTCTACCATCTGGTTGCATATTGTACATTGGGAATGTTTCACCAGCCTCAATTCCACTGTTCATTATGTGGCCCGTATGTGACTTAGATGAGACACATTCTTACCCTTATCTCTCGGGGCGAGCCCCGATTGGCTTACGACATTTAAAGTCTCCTTACACCTCTTGCCACAGTGCTTGGCTTAGGCCTTAGTTACTCAGGCGCTTAAACCAAACAGGCCATGGTTTGAAGCTCAGGACATTTGCTGTATAATTGAGGCAATTGTCATCTCTCTCTCTTTTTTTTTTTTCTTTTTTTCTTTTTTTGAGACGGAGTTTTGTTCTTGTTGCCCAGGCTGGAGTGCAGTGGCACAGTCTTGGCTCACTGCAACCTCCGCCTCCCAGGTTCAAGCAATTCTCCCGCCTCAGCCTCCTGAGTAGCTGGGATTACAGGCACCCGCCACCACGCCTGGCTAATTTTTTGTATTTTTAGTAGAGATGGGGCTTCACCATGTTGGCCAGGCTGGTCTCAAATTCCTGACCTCAGGTGATCACTTGCCTCGGCCTCCCAAAGTACTGGGGTTACAGGCGTGAGCCACCGTGCTCGGCCTTGCCTTCTCTCTTCTAATATGAAAGAGGAAGCTAGGAATCCCCATTGCTGCTGGCATGCATGCTATACACCTGAAGGGAGCCGCCTAAGATGAAATTGATACTGTGGAGTGCACAGTGGAAAGATGGAAAGAAACTGGGTCATTCATGACATTGTCAAGATGCTAGATCAACCAACCCCAGATCCTGTCCAACAACTGGACTCTTCATTTACATCAGCCACTACTATGTTATTGAAGCTTGGACAAGTTGGTTTGCTTGCAAGTTAAATTATTGTATCTGAGAGCATCCTAACTGATACATAAAAAGAGAC